GATATCTCACGAGATGTCCCCACCCTCTGCCCGCCGCCGCCCGCCGCCCCAGGGCTTCATGGAGCAGGCGATCGCGAGCCGCGGCTTGCGACTCGACAAGCCTGGCGCGGTGATCCTCTCGACCGTGCTGCCGCACGGAGGCAGCCAGCGGTACTCCTTCCTCGAGCTCCGCTCTGCCATCGAGTGCACGCACGCTCGCTCCCTCGCGCGCTGCGGCCAGGGGGAGGGCGCCTCTAGCCACACCCTGCTCGGAGCCGTCCCCCGCAGGCGCGCCCTCTCCCTCAACCAGCAGCTGGTGATGAGCGAGAGCCGGCTCGTCATCCGGCGCGGCCAAGACTGGTACCGCCCCGACCGCCAAGACTACGAGGCGCGCCACAGCCCCCAGGAGGACCGGGGGGTCGCAGAAGCCTTCCCGACCCGCCCCCCTCCCACCCACCCGACCCCGTGACCGCACCCTCCCCTCGCCGCCCCGCGCACAGGCGCTTCCCCCCGAGCTGGACGAGCTCTGCATCCCGCCCGGCCTCCCGCCCAACGTGGACGGCCTCACCATCCTCACCGCCGCCGGCGTCGACATCAAGACCCTCCAGCGCGCCGGCGTCGAGTGCGCCGCCCCCCGTATGAATTGCAATGGTTAATGATCAATCAGCCGTTGCTAATGATTGATTGAGGCGCCGAGTGCGTCGCTCCGCCCGCCCACCTCCAACCCCCCTCCCTCGGGCAGCACGAGCGTGTTCCACTACACTGGCAAGCAAAAGCTGAACGAGTTTCCCGACCGCCACCGCGACATGCGCGAGCAGGCCAAGGCCGCGAGCCAAGGCTCGCCGACACCCTGCGCGAGGCGGCCATCGCTGCCCAGTGATTCATCGGCTCACGACGCGTCCTTAGGTCTGCCCACCGAGAACTCGGAGGCGATCAGCGCGTGCGCCATGTCGGCTGCCAGCTCGGCGAGCAACCCCAACCCTTACCCTAACCCCAACCCAAACCCCAACCCCAACCCCAACCCTAACCCTCTGCCACTCGGCGAGCCCACCCGCCCGCGCCCCTCGCCCTGCCGCACGGGCCGAGGTTGCTCCTCTTCCCGCGCTGACCCCTCCCGCCCCCCTCCCCCAGGTGCCCGGCATCACGTCCCGCGAGGACGCGCTCAAGAGCACAAAGACGCAGCGCACCGTCTACGTCGGAGGCCTCCCCTCGCCGGTGCCGCCCGGACTCACCCCGCCCGCGGTCGCCGAGTTCTTTGGTGCGCAGAGAGGAGCCGAGATCAGCCGAGATTCCCCTCCCGCCGCCGCCTCTTTCGTGGCGCCGCCGCGCGACGCCTCGCCCCGCCCCTCGCGCGCCCACGCCCGGGGCCCGCTGCAGGTGCCGCCCTCAAGGCGACGTCGCTGCACGACACGTCGCTGCCCGGCGAGCCCATCGTCGGGGTCGACATCGCGTCGGGCGGCCACTTCGCCTTCCTCGAGTGCCGGACCATCGCGGAGGCGCTCTCCTTCTCGGCGCTCAACGGCATCGAGTTCCTCGGCCGCAGCATCCGCCTCGGCCGGCCGCGAGGCTACACGTCGGTCGGCGAGCACCTCAAAGATACGCTCCGCATGTACAAGGTCCTCGGAAACACCACCATCTCGCCCGACGGCGCCGAGCCGCCGGACTCGCACGAGGAGCGAGCCGACGGGTCGACGGAGCCGCAGCGGCCTCTGCTCACCGACGCGTCGGGCGGCAGCGCGCCGCCGCAGCGGCTGCTGTCCGAGGTGGCGGGGCTGACGGAGCCCGCCATACCGCCCGGTGCGACGGAGGCGCTCGCTCTGAACCACATGGTCAAGGAGGGCGACCTGGAGGACGCCGACATCATGGGAGATATTCTCGAGGACGCACACGCGGAGTGCCAGAAGCACGGGCAGGTCCACGTGATTCTCTGTCCGAAGCCAGGTGCCGCGGCCTCCGACGAGGCTCTCGATGCGATGATTCAGCGCCGCCTCTTTGTGCTGTTTGGCAGTGTCCAGGCGGCCGTGGCGTGCCAGCGGGAGCTGCACGGCAAGGTGTTCGAGGAGGATCCTATCGACGCCACTTATGTTCCAGCGGAGCTGCTGCAGGCGCTCCAGGCGCTGCCCAGCTTCGACGGCCCGACTTCCGCGGCCGATGCGCCAGGCGCGGATGCGCCGTGAGGAAGGGCGGAGGCTAGCTCTCCGGGCGGCAATGCAACTTTCTCTGCAGGCTGAGCCGATCGCGTGCACGGCAGAGGCTGCTCGGAGGCTGCTCGAGGCTAGGCGTGCGCTGGCTGCTGCTGCTTCCCGCTCGATCACCTCCTTTGCTCCGCTTGCGCGCGCTCGCTTCGTCTTCCGCCTCTAGGCTCTGCAGCAGCAGCTCTGGCCGAGGAGCTTGCCGCCATTGCTTGGCGCAGGCGAGGTTTTTACCATGGAGGTCGCATTGGATATGTTGGGTGAGCGATGCGGATTTCACCGCAGGCCGGGCACGGTGTACCGTGTACGACAGCATTCGGTGTGTAGGAGATGTGTTGTGTTTTTCAACGACGTTTGGGTTCCGCACTTTACAGATGACACACATACATATACACATCGTGAATTTACTCGACACTGGACACTGGACACTGCCATTTTTTAGCATTTAAGCACATTTCCCGCCTCTCGCATGTCGGTTGTCGCACGTCTCACTCGCAGCTCACCCCACTGTGCACCCCACTGCACCGCGCACACCTAGAACGAAATCGTCGCACAATTCTACTTTTTTGCCACTGCACAGAGTCCGTGCCGACGGAGTCGAGACACGAGAGGAACGAGAGCGCGAGATGCTGAGGCTGAGCCTAGCAGCCAAGAGTGAACGAAGAGAGGCTCAAACTCTCTGAGCCCCAGCTCTGGCGGCTCAGGCGGCGGAGCGGCACGCTGTGGACTGCTCGCTGTCCCTCTCGCACTCTCAGCCCCCGATCGTCGCACCAGAAGAGTCTACCGCAATCCCAATGCGGAGCGAAATTCAAAACACTGTCACCGATGTTTGTCCTGCCCTTGAGCACCGTCGCGTCCAATGTCTGCTCTCCCCGCTCGCACAAGCGCACGGTGTGGCACGAGCCTGTTGGCGCAAATGCTCGACTCGCCATTCACGCGTCGCCTTGCTCGTCAATCCCTCAAAGAAGCATTTCGCACACCCTCGACATCGATGCTTCGTGCCTCACGCAGCGAATTGCAATGCGACGACGTCGGAGATCGGGGCTTGGCAGATGGGGCACGGCATCGCCCGGCGTCGCAGAGAGCTCGCGCACTCGAGGCAAGCGCAGAGGTGGCCGCACCTGTAGAAGGCGGCGTCGGCTCGGCTGCCGCCGCAGACAACACACCGCCCGAGCCCGGCCGGCGCCTCTGGCGCCTCGAGCGATCCTGTCGCGGGGCTCGGGACCCACAACCACTCCTCACTGTCCGCCTCCGCCTCGGCGGCATCCCTTGCTGCCTGCCACTGCCGCCCGACCCAATCGGGCGACGCAACGGCAAACGGCGGCGGCAGGGGCGGAGCCAAACCCGACGGCAGGGGCGGGGCCGAGGCCGGCGGCGCTCCAAGCACCACAGTCGGCGAAGAGGCCTGGCTCCGTGAGGCGGCCGAGGTTACGGCAGAGGCTCGGGGCGAACGCTGAAAGGCGCGAATCTCGGCGAGGAGGCTGGTGACGACGGGCGCCTCGCCGGCGCGGCTGTCAAAGCTGCGGAGCTTAGCGGCGGCGGGTGGCGGCGACGGCGGGGCCGGAGGGGGCGGAGGCGGCGGCTGGAGGCCTGCGGTGTCGCGCGCCAAGAAGGCCTCGAGCTTGACCCTCGTCGGGTCCGACCCGCTAACGCGCCGCTGCTGCCGTAACGCCTGTTGGTGATTGATTCAGAGGTAAGGTGGGTCACTGTGCGACTGGGCTGCCAGACGTTGTGTTCAGCCTCGATGCTCGCTCTCAGCCCGTCTTCAATTTGGTCTCGCGAGATTGACGTCGGCGAGATCTCAAGCAGGCTCGCGACGTGATCGGATCGCGCCTCTACAACGCGTAGGTTGCGCACGCTCGCAAGTTCGGCCGCCCTGTCGTCACGAACACGCACCGTGAAGGCGGACAGATGCGCAACGGCGGTCATGAGGGGAGTAGCAGCCAAAGTTGCAGGGCTCCGCCTGCCTGCTCCTCCAGATTAGGACCCAAATCCTTGTGAACAGCGGGCGACGGCGGGCCAAACGGGGCTCGGCGAGTAGGGGCAGCTCGCCTGGGGATGTAGGACGGGGCACGGAGCCACGGACGGAGCGAAAACATTCTTCTAAATAGAGCAGGCTCGTGGTGTGTGTGAGTGCACAATAAATACTTACTCCAAGTACTCTACACAGGTCACAGCAGGCTCCACAGGCAGGAGATATGGGCGACGCACGCACGAACACAGAGGCACAGTGCGCATCCCGTTCCGCTCGCAGGGCGTGCATGATGACTTCTTCGTCGTATTTTGTTCTTTGTGTTCTTGATCTTGAGCACTTGAGCACTTGATAGGGCCGGCCGATTCCGCATGGTACGGGACCCCTCGATCGTCTCGCCCTCCCTCACTGGTGTGTTCATTGGGGGGGGTCATAACAATGTGTATTGGTGTCTTTTTTATGTATGTAGCTCTTATGAACGTACGTACCCGAGTTCCAGAGAGAGAGAGAGAGAGAGAGAGAGAGAGAGAGAGAGAGAGAGAGAGAGAGAGAGAGAGAGAGAGAGAGAGAGAGAGAGAGAGAGAGAGAGAGAGAGCGAGGACAGAGGTGAACTGCTGACGGAGTTTGCGATAAGAACAGTCAGGCTCGGACTGGACACCAGCGAAGAGAATTTTAGAGAGAGAGATGTGCCACATTTCAATTTTGTGAGTGACACCAGGACCAGCGATGAGGAGCGACACCGACTGGTTCTTCGGGGTTAGCGCACCGCTAACCGCCGAACGCAAGCGCACTACGACCTGGGTCGGGCTCATACTGCACGCACCCCTCTTCCAACCTGGAATTTCGTTGGTTTCGGGCGGCAAGAAGAAATAATGCGTAACGACAAAACAACAGCATGCGTTCGTCCGCAACACAGTACGCGCCGCTGGCCGACAACACGGGCTCGCCGCTGAGCCCAGGCCGCCGGTCGCTGATCGGTAGCGCATCTCCCGCGAGCAGCCGCAGTGGCAGCAGTGCCACCAGCCGAGCGCTCAGCCTCTCTGCGAGTTCCATAGCCGGCTCCGCACCACGGCTGTGGGACACCTCAGAGGAGGAGCTGGAGCCGGAAGACCTTTCAGACTACTTTGACCGGCTAACAAGTCGGCGTGGTATCCATCGACGCGGCCGCTACGTCCTTCTGTCGCGCGCCCTCCTCTTGTCCTGCTGCGCGGTGCAGACGGCGTGTGCTACGACCTTCATCTCTTCGGTCCGCACAATGCCAGCGCGCACCGATGCGCAGTTCATGCTCGTGACTGTTGCCGCAGCTGCTGCCTCGGGCGTGGTCGGCGCTGCCGGCGCGTATTCGCGGTCCGGCTCGCTGCTGCGGTGGTTTGTCATCTCTCAGGTCTGGTGCATGTCTAACATCGTGGCCCAGTGCGTACTTGCTCAGCACAGCAGCCGAAGGTACGCCACGAAACCACCGCACAGGAGAAGAGACAGCACGTACTCTGACACACTCGCTCGCACCCGCGCAGGCAGCACGTCCTGTGCGCCGATGAGCCCTCCTCTGCATCCGCGAGCTGTCTGACTGATGAGTTTGACACGCGCTCTCTCCTGCTCGCGTTTGGCGTGGTGTATTGCTCCATCTTTGTTGCCGACACGCTGGCCCAGGCGTTCCAGGACCAGACCGTGCACGCGAGCAAGTACCGGCGCGGACCGCCACCGGCAAAGCCTCTCTGCCTGCGCAGCCTCGCTCATCTCGTCCCCATCTCCCTTCCCTCCCCGCGCAGAATTGTGCAAATGGTTTGGCTCATGCAGAAGCGAACGCTGGTCTCCGTTTCGCGCTTCGAGGCCATCATTCACGCTCACTTCGAGGAACTTGTGAATAACGGGTTGCTTCAGCTGACGCCGAGGGCGCGCAAAGGCGGAGGGTAACAGGCACCCAGGCCACCGGAGGATCGACGGAGGAGGCAGCTCCCACGTTGAGAGGTGTGTTTCCTTCACAACATATTCAGGGCGGCTTTTCACGCTCAAAAGCGGGTAACAAGGTCTCTGTGAACTCCCCGTCTCACACCCTCACTGACGTGTGCCGTGTGAGTTTCTTGTTTCTCATTGCAATATCAACCTTTCTGTCATCTGTGAAAACCCCACGACCCAGCCCCGCACGCCGCAGGGGGCGCAGCCGCAGGCGCATCCGCATGCCCAGGCGCGGATGCCGAGGCGCACGTATCCAGAATAAGAGCATTTTATAAAAAAGCTAGGTGCAAGCGCCACAAACGTCACAAGCGGTGCTCAGTCCTCCTCGATGTTGTCTCCGAGTCAAAGAGTCACGCTGCCAGAGAGTGCCGAGGCCAATCTTAGACGACTATTTGACCGTCCTTGGGCGGAAGCTCCTCCTCCGACACGTCGTCGGGGATATGGCGCAACGGTGCCGACCTGGGTGAGCTCTCTTTCCGCCTGCACAAGCCGAGGACGTCGGAGACGTCGCCCGGCCGCGCGTATAGCCAGACAGATACGCAAACGAGCCTGCAACACACGCAATCTGAGCCTCAGCCTCAGCCTCGTGGGTCGCGGGGCAATGGGGATGGCTCACCCAATCCCCTCAAAGAAGAGCTGGGTCGGATGAAAGTCAAAGAGGACCATCGACGAGCCACAAGTGAGCAGAAGAGCGAGCACCGTCGCAAACGTCTTGAGGACCTATCGACGCCATGACCGGTTGCAGCTAGAGTGGATTACTCGAGACGCGCAACCTCGGCACAACGACACGTTTCCGGCAAACTTGATCACCACGGCGGTGCACAGCGCGCCGACGACTTGCACCGCAACAACGACCCATGTCGAGGTATGGAAGCCTTGCACGAGACCGCGCCTCATCACCCTCTGGCCTACAGATTGACATTGACCGAAAGTCAGAGAGGAGAGCCGATCCGTCCTCGGCGCCGCTCCGCCACGCCGCCGTCGACTTGGGCGATGGCGATACACTGCAGCGGGATCGCGAATAGGCCGAGCTGCACGTTGCGCATCCAGAGCGAAGTGCCCCCTGCAGTGAAACAAGAGCCCGCTTTGCAGCCGCTCTCTGCGTGTGGACAAAATCACGGCGAGGCGGGGGCCCGAAGTGAACATCTTCTCGAGAAAGACACCGGCGAAGCCCGAGATGGAGGCAGCTGCGAGCGCGGCGCTGACACCGAGCCAAGGGGCGGCGCCGGTGGGAGCGCTCGACGACTTTCCGTCCTCCGACTGCACCTGCGGGCCGACAAAGCGGCGGCTGAGCAGGGGGCGGCTACGAGGAGGGGCACGCTCTCCCAACGGCCACCAGCGCAACTCCGGCCATCAGTAGCAAAAAGGAGACCCACTGCGCGGCGCGGAAGCTCCGCCGCAGGAGCAAGACGGTGAAGAAGGCGGTGGAGATGGTCTTGAGCTGGTAGAGCACCTGAGCCGCGGCTGCCGACAGGTTGCTGATGGCCACGAAAACCAGGTTGTTCTGCATCGCGTAGCAGAGAGCCGGCACGCCGAGCAGCAAGGTGGTTCGCCTGCGAGCGAGGCCCCCCTCTCCTCAGCACACACCCCTCCTGCAAGCCGAGCAGTTCGCCCGGCGCACCGCTCCACCCACAAGTGGTGCTGCAGCTCCGCGCACAGCTCGCGCACGCTGAGGCGAGGGACGGGGGTGGGTCGGCAAGGCAGCGCACGACGCGGCAGAGGTCAAGGGCGGGAGCGTGGGTCTGAAGCGAAGGAGGGAAGCCGTCGCTCGGGCTGCCTGCCCCGAGCGTCCCGAAGCAGCAGGAGGAGGCAGATGGCCATCTTGATCAGCTCGACCATGAGCACGACCACCGAGGTCAGGTACAGCTCGTTGGGCTTACCCTGCCGCGTATACCGCGTCACCACAAACGCGGAGCTGTTTTGCACCATCAGCACGGCGAGACTGCCCCATTTGAGCAGGAGAGCCGTCTTTGTGCTCTTGCTGACGGCCTGCTCGCTCGAGGTCTCCGACGCAGAGACGAGGGAGGCTCTTTCTGCGCCCGCAGCGTCCTTCTGCATCGAAGCTCCAGCTGCGGGCGGCTCGGCCGGCTCAGGCAAGGCTTGGCAGTCGCGTTTGTGCCACAGTTCGGTTTGGGTCGTGCCACAGGGTTGCGCCCGCCCCTGTCGAGGTTCTTGAGGTGGATGCCGCCTTTGGCCGCGTGTTCCCGAGGTGAGTCTGTCAGTAGCGGCTAACCTCGAAATGTGCACCTTGGATGGCTGCGCTCCCTGTTTCGCAGCCAGATGCCCTGCAGCTATAAGCGCGTTTGCTATTCGAAATACCTGCGTTTCCTGTACACTAACGGAAGCGCGACAGCCTCCAGACACACACCTCATACACACATATGGAGCCCCTCTCTCGCCCCCCTGGCGGCGGCAGTGGCCATGGCGACGCTGACGGCGGTGGCACTCGTGGGACGTGGCGGTGACACTCGTGGCCGCGGCGGCGCCTGGGCAGCAGAGAGCTGTCGCTGCAGTGCTGGCGGCAGCTGGCGTGCAGTGAAAAGTAATCCGACCGCGGCCCCGCGGCCGCAATGAATTAAAAGGGGCGGTTTTCGAGGGGGAATCTGGAGAATCTGGGAATCTGCTCACCACGGACCCCCGCACCTCATCGAAAAACTGGGATCATCTGGCTTCCGGAATACTTCCGCGAAGCTGCCCCCAGCAGGCGTTTGACCAAAATCCAAATTTCCCAGCTCCAGTTGAGGCTGCCCTCGGACCCGAGAAACTTTTCCTCACACTCTGCAAGACATAGTACTTTTTTAAGGTGCTCTACAAGCTAGGCAAGATTAGGCACAAAAGATATGGCATTGCAGGCCATTTAGGGCCCCTTAGACGGTCACTGAGTAGGCCAAAATCCCCACTGGGCCGGGAGCAACCTTAATCAAAATACAACAATTGTAAAGCCGTACACGCAAACTGTGTACACGGCACACGGCCTAGCTACCCAAGCTATGCGTAGACGAAAATGTGGACAACCTCGGACCCCTCGTACCGGGTGGTGTAGGAGGCGTCCACCGCGCAGCGGCGGAGGTAGGCGGCGATTGCCTTCGCCTCAAAGTCGTTGACCAGATCGCCCCTGAGCGAGAGCACCTGCTGCGACCAGACTGTGGCCGGCGCGATCGCGGAGAGCTGGAAGCCTCGCTCGGAGGGCTCGAGCCGCGCGGAGAGGAGGTAGTTGTTGTACTCGAACACCTGCGCGAGCGCCTTGACGCCCTCGAGGAGCGCCGCCCTGCTCGGCCGCAGCTCGACGGTGGGCGCGAGGCCGGGATAGCGCTCGGCGATCGCGTCGAGGATCTTGTCGCCGACGCGCAGCGACAGCAGCGCCGGCAGCCGCGCATTGTCCCGCGGGAGGGCCGGGTCTCGCGCCACCACGACGCTGGTGCCGTTCGCGTCGATGAGCTCCTCGAACACCACCCTCCCGTCGCGCATCCCCGCGGCGATCGTGGCGTACTGGCAGTAGGACATGAAGTCGAAGTAGTTTGGGTCGGAGATGTCGCCCTGCTTGACGGGCGGCAGCGGCTGGCGGTAGCCCTCCCAATCGTCCTGGCGCAGCAGGAACTGGCGCTTCTGGAACTCGTCCATCGGCATGAAGTCAAGCTCGTCCGCCGTCGCGTACGACGTGCGCATGAGCAGCACCGCGAAGTCGATGTCGATGCGCCGCCGCGGAAGCGACCTGGGCCTCGGGCCGGCGGCACGCACCGCCTGCTCGCGCAGAATCTGCGCAAACGAAGTGCGGCTGTCGATCCGCTCGTCGAGCGGCCGCGGTTGGACCAGCGCTGGAGCCGGAGCGGGCACGAGCACTGTCGACGCGAGAAGATGCGCCGCGAAGGACCTGCGAGCAACTGAGGTGATGCCTTGCCGCATCGGGTTGATGGTAGAGGCAGGTAGGCACAAGACGGAGCAGAGAAGGCAGCCGCGCAGCGACACCCTGGGGTTTCGCTCTCCAGGTGCCCCCTGGCGACGCTGCGTACGATGAGGACCGCACCGAGTACAAAGAGGGCGAGAAACGCGTAGAACTGCGTCCCAAGCACTCCGCCGGGCCGGATGCAGCGTCCGGCCCACACCTGGCAAGCGCCGGGCATGAACGGCGGCTGCGGTGGCGGCGGACTCGCCTCTACCATGGTGCGCCACCCCTGCTCCTACGACGCGCTCGGCGAACAGTTTTGCGCCGCTCCTCGACGTTCGCGTTGTGTAAGTAAGAACGGCGGCGGGCGCTGCCACAATCTGCTATCTGGACAAACCACTTTTTGAGAGAAGAAAACCGTTGGACCACCCAAGCAAGCCTGCCCGCAGCCCGATCCCGATCATCCGGCCCGCTGGTGCGCTTCACAATACAACATACCAAACAAGCATAGCTCCCCGGCCGCCGCGCGCCGGCCCCCGCCCCTGTGGGTGTGAGACTGAGAGACAGAGCAGAGAGGCTAGAATGTGTAATGAGATAGCTGGCCATGTGGCTAGACCATCTCCTAGAATGTGTAAGTGACAGCTCTGGCCAAGCGTGCAGTCATAAGACTGACTCCCAAAAGCAAAAACGGCCGTCAGGTGCGTATGCGTATGCCGCCAGAGACGCGCCACACACCCACCGCGTCGGAAGTGCCGGCGACACACACGACGCCCGACGGGTGGGGCAACACCCAGTTCGGCTTCTGCGCGAGGCTCGCCGACCCCACCGCGCGCAAGCTGGCCCCCTCCGACGCCCCCTCGGCCGGCGGCGGCTCGCACGCCCATAGGCGCAGCCGAGAGTCGTCGCCCGCAGAGAGGAGCGGCACCGCCGTCCCCCACCCTGCACCGCCGAGCTGCGGCGCAAAGACCACCTGCGACGCGGCGGCGCCGTGCGCGGACGGAGCCGCCGCGAGGAGAGCGCCGTGGTTCGCGTCTCGCAGCTCGATCGACCCGTCGCCGAGGGCGGCGGCAAAGGCGGTGCCGCCGGGCTCAAAGGCGAGCGAGTGAACGTGCCGCGGGTTGATCACGCGCGGCGCCTGTGGCAAGGTTCAGAGAGGGCTCAGGGAAGGCTCCTGCGAGCTCGGCACGGGTTGAAGAGGCACTGTGGCGCCGCTCCGTCCGACTGCGCCGGCGGCGCCGCGGCCGCGAGGCACCACGAGCACAGCGTCGCGCCGGTGAGGCAGTCCCACCGCACAGCAAACGCATCCGTCCCACCCGAAAGCAGCTCGAGCCCGCCGCCGCCGCCACCGGCTGGGCGAAAGGCGAGGCAGGCACAGATGGAGCCGTGAGCGGCGTCCAGCTCCGGCGGCTGGCTATCGCCATCGAGGTTGACGACGCGCACCTCGCCCGAGTCGTCGCCGATCGCGACATGCTCGCCAGCCGCGTCGATTGCCAGCGCTCCCACCTCGTCGCTGCTCCCGCCGAGCGACGGCACGGCAGGCTCGCGCATCAGCACGCCCGGAGCGCGCAGGTCGTAAGCAAAGACGTCACGTCCAGCGGCGCCAAAGACAAAGTGCTCGCACCCTCCACGGCCCACGGCGAGAGCGTTCACGGCCTGAGCGCCGGGAGCAACCATCGCCCGCGCCGTCCTCTGCGCGCCGAGGTCCCAGAGACGGACGGTCCCGTCCTCGCCGCCCGAGACCAGCATGTCACCCTCGCCCGCGAGGCAGTTCACACCGCCACGGTGGCCGCGGAGCGACGCCGCCTGAGACAGCTCTCCCATGGGATCGATGGAAACGGGTGCTGGCACGGCGGGGCGTTGGAGGAGGAGGTCTCGCGGCAGGCACACGGGTTCGGGGCTCCAACCACGTATGGAAGCCCAATTCACACAGGACCCACTGGCCCTCGTCCACACTCTACACCCTCGCCGCGCCTCACTCATCGCACGGCCCGTGCTTTTGGCACCATCGCTCCCGCCACGCGTCGTCGGGCCGCCCCCAGCCGATGGTCGCGCCCGCCGGCGCGAGCACGCCCGACACCCACGGCACCTCCCGCGGCATCGCGTCTGGCCACACGTCCATGCTCACCGCCCACGGCCAGTCCCGGCGCGGCGCTTGTCGCATCCGCTCGGGGTAGGTGCTGTGGCCAAAGTGCGGGTCCTTGGGCGCCTCGGGCAGGCGCTCCGCCTGGAACTTGAGCCAGCACTCGCCAAACTCGTGCACGTGGATGTCAAAGGCGAAGCAGCGCGGCGAGGGGCAAAAGGTCCAGATCTGGCACGCACGCCTCTGCCCGCCTCCGCAGAGCATCGCCGGCCGGCGGCCGTGCTTGCGCGCGCTCGCGGTGCCGTTGGCTTCGGCGGGCCACCACTCCTTCCCCTCGGAGCCGGCGCCGCCGCAGATGCGCGCGTGCGCCTGGCAGGCGGTGCAGCACTCGGACGCGCCAGCCAGGTGGAAGCCTGGCTTGCCGAGACCCCAGACGAGCGCTCCGTCGCCCGCGTAGCCGGTGTTGGCGCGGGCGTGGCAGGTTGCGTCCGCCACATCACCCTCGCCGCCGGCCACCGAGTCGATGTGCAGCACTCGTTCCAGCGCCTGCAGCCGCTGGTCAAAATCGTCGTCGGCAGCGGCGGCCGCGGCGGTTGATGGAAACGCCGCACTGTTGAGGAGCAGGAGCAGGCCGGCGGCGATCAGCAGGCCCGCGATCGACGATGGGACGGATGCCGACGAGCGCGATCCGCGCTCGCGGCCGAGCGGGGCATAGGCCGTCGGCATTGGAGCCTCTTCGTGCCGGAAGTCGGCTGCGACCGTGGACGGGCCGGATGGGGAGAGATCGAACCGAGGGCGAGTAATTCAGCGCGAAGACTCTCTGGTCGTGAAGATGTGGCCCGGGTTCACGCGGCTCGGCGGTGGTCGCAAACCAGCGCGAAGAAGGGTCTTGCGTGCGTCGCGTTTTTTCTTGCCTGCACATTCTTCCCACATTGAGCACTTGAGCACTGGATAGGGCCGATTCCGCGTGGTACGGGACCCCTCGATCGTCTCGCCCTCCCTCACTGGTGTGTTCATCGGGGGGGGTCATAACAAACACGGTACAGGATCGAGGTGCACGCTGCCGAAGCAGTGTCGTCCCCCCTCTCCCCGACGGCGATGGCGGTGTGACCGATCGAGCTACAAGAGGAGCTTGTTCAGCAGGATCCGGGATGGTCTGGCGCACTACCTCACTGGGCCTGAGACCGCCGAGACGCCCCCATCACCGTCTCGGATTCATGTGGGATCGAACCACTCCGGGATGGGCAAGCCCATCAGTTTCCGTTTCGCGTTTCCCTGCACCTGCAGGCGACGTGGCGAGAGAGGGATGAGTGAGGCTGGGACGGAAGGGGAGGGGAGGAAGGGCGGGGGCCAGACGGGGAGGGGGGGGGGGGGGGGGGGCCCTTTAAGCGAAAAAACCCAAGGGGGGGGGGGGGCTCAAAAGGGCAAAAAATGCAATCATAACCCCTTGGGGACGTTTTTCCCCCCCAAAAACTCTTAGCACCTCGGGGGGGTTTTTCCCCCCCAAAAACTCTTAGTTCCCCGGGGCAGCTACCCGGGGTTTCCCCATTTAGAGGGGGGGATTTTTTGGAATTCCAAAAAAATTTAACCCTCCCCCGTCATTTGGGGCCTGGAGCCCTTTTCCCCCCCCCCCCAAACGTGCAAAAAGGGGGAGGGCCCCACAGGAAAAACCGGCTTTTT